AGGATACTAAATTAAAACAACATAAATCATAAAATACAACGTTATAGTCATAAGAAGCGAAGGAAATCGGTTAACAGGGAAGATGAGAAAGACAATACAACCCTATGTGGTCTGACAAAAAGATACTATAAAATAGTATTGTGACACACAAAATGCTATTTTATAGTATTTTTTTTTGGTCAAACCACATAGTAGGGCTGTATTACCTACTGTCCTTCTCATCTTCCCTATTAACCTACTGTATTTTTCGGAGTATAAGATGCTCTGGAGCGTAAGATGCACCTTAGTTTTTGGGGGAGGAAAATAAGGGGGGGGGGGAATCCTGCCTCTGCCTACCAGCATCCATCGGTATTCATCTGGCTAGTGTCCTGTCAGTGTGTGAAAGCTGAGGGCTGTTTGGAAACTGAAAGAGTATTTGCTGTGCGAGTAAGGAGACAGCAAGGAGCCTGGGCGTGGCTTAGCTCAACCCGTTCTGTACTAAAGCTGCCTGCTGCTGTGGAAGGGATACTAAAACTCCTCCCCTGCTTGTGTTGTGCTTGTTGTTTACCACCACTTTGGAAAAACCTGCTTTGGGGATTGTATACTTACTTCATGTGTTGTATATAAAGAGAAGGTACTGAATCCTGCTGAATCTGTTACTTGTGTGTGATCTATGGATGTGATTGCCGCCGCAAACTCTTGACAGGTCCTTGCAGCCAACAGCCAACAGCCCGGTCAGCTTCAGCACATTGTCGCAGCCTGATTGGCGGGAATACCCCCCCGATCAGCTGTTCTAGGCTGCAGGGATTGCCACAGAGAGTCGCTGCCTCTGTTCCTCCCGTCTCGGCCTCGCGGGTGAGAGCTACGTTCGGTGTATAAGACGCACCCAAATTTTCACCCTCTTTTAGCGGGGGGAAAAGTGTGCCTTATATACTCCGAAAAATACGGTATTTGCTTCACTTCTTATGACTATAACATATTGTTTGTATTTTACGGTTTATGTTGTTTTTCTAAATCTTCTTTGATGGTGTCCAGTTGGGAAGAATAAAGCCACCGAGCTCTAGGAGAGACTTACCGAAACCTGGCCGTTTTCACCGTAGGCTACGAAAACACTGGGACTCTCCAGAATTCTGTTTCCAGCGTTTTCAGTGTTTTCCAAAGAAACTACATTTAAAGACCTAAAAAATAGTATTATATAAGATATAAGAGCCTCAGTGGCACAGTGGTTAGAGTGCAGTACTACAAGCGACTTCTGCTGCAGCCGTCTGCCTGCAATTGGGCAGTTCGAATCCCACCAGGCTCAAGGTTGACTCAGCCTTCCTTCCTTCCTTCCTTCCTTCCTTCCTTCCTTCCTTCCTTCCTTCCTTCCTTCCTAGCTGGGTGAAATGAGGACCCAGATTGCTGGGGGCAAGAAGCTGGCTCTGTAAACCGCTCAGAGAGGGCTGGAAAGCACTGCGAAGAGGTATATAAGTCTTATTGCTATTGTGGTCATTACTGCAAGTTTCCTTGCGGCATTTTTAAAAAAAAATCTATTTTAATTTCCAAGGCTGCCTATCTTAAAATACGTAATTCTGGGTGGCTGACAGAAATTAAAAAGCTACGTGAAGGGAAATGTACCCCGCCCCCCCCGCAAAAGAGAAAAACCCCAAGAGCATAAGCAGCCAGCGATTACAGCAATTTGGTCGCAAATTGCAACGTCACATGACCGGATGGTTTATCGACAGCAATTCAATTGCCATCCTTAAGCAAGGACCGCGTGGGGGTCATTAAGCGAGCATACCTTGTGCCAACTTCCCCAAGGACTTTTGACTACGGGAAGCTGGCAGGGGAGTCAGCAACTGTGATCATGGAACTGTGGCCCAGCTGCGACACTATCAACAGGAGCTGGGCACCTGGACCAGCTCCCAATAATACCCCGGACACCCATGTGATTTCCTCCGGTGCCCAGAAGATAGGGGCACCCTTAAAGAGCAATGTAGAGGAATCATGGGCCTTGTTTGTTTATATCCCGTCCTTACTGTTTTTACAAACAACTCGGGAGGCGAACATATCCAATACAACTTCCTCCTCCTATTTTGTCCACAACAACCACCCTGTGAGGAGAGCCGGGTCGAGAGGGAAACTAGCCTTGAAGTCGTTTGGCTGGTTTTTCCCAGCTAAAGCGGAAGTAGAAATTCCTGTCTCCTGGTGATTGGCCCAGAGTCACCCAGCTGGCTTTCATGCCTAAGGCAGGACTAGAACTCCCTGTCTCCTGGTGATTGGCCCAAAGCCACCCAATTGGCTTTTGTGCCTA